GAAATTAGTAAGGCAAAACTGCCTTTAGCTCCCTTTCTCTCCGTTTCCAAACATTCGGCTAAGGAAAAACCTCCAAACATGGTTCATTTGTGCAAGAAAGGTCTAAGGAACATACATGGTACTTTTAGTAGGTGTTTAGCACCAAGAAATGCATTTAGTAAGACCACAACAAGTCTCACATCTAATCTATCCAAATCTAAGAGTTTTCAAAAACAAGGCAGTCGTCGTATTTTGATCATAACTTACTCAATTTAGCTCAGAATTGGAAATGGTTGATAGTGTTGGAAAATACATTCATAGGGCTATAATTTCACAGAAAAAATCATTCTGAATTTCGGTACACAACTAGCTCGAAATCGAGCTTCAAGTCACAGCTTCTGTATTCCATTCCAGTAGAACAGAGAAACAAAACAGCTGAGTTCAGAAGAGTGGTGCGGTTCACACACATGGAACCAGAATGTACATTTTATACCGTTGGAAAGAGGGGGATGTCTAGTTTCAAATGCCACTGACGGCACTTGATTTCGACGTTGGAACACGGAGTTATGGACGAAATACGAATACTGGTCTGGCCATGACGTGAACAGTTTCCAGATTACTAGCTTTGGGAATAAATTCATTTGACCAACCAAAACTCAACATTTTTCAATGAAAATTTTTACACAACCACTACAACATGTAAACAATACAATCAAGCCATTAAATCCTCAAATTTCTGCATTAAAGTGGCCGAACAAAGCAGGGGCAAAATAGTTAGATTTGGCCTTTGCACCCAACGTGAGTTTCCATCAATTTTCCATCAACAAACCACTAATTTAAACACTAATCCAACATTATAACCATCATCAAGCACAAAATCAGCAACAACTCAAGAGTGGGAGTTCATAGAGCCCACTTTTCCAATTTTCCAACATCAACAACAACCCATAAGAAATTAAGAGCTAAAAGATATACTAGAACTTGCAAAAATTGAAGTTAGAAGGCTAAATTAAAACTTACTCTAGTTGATGTCTCTGTCAGAGATTCGGTCCCTCCTTGCTCCTAAGTGAGCCGTGAAAATCCTCCCCTTTTTAGCTAGATGTGAACTCCAAGGCTTAGGCTAAGTAGTGCTAAATTTTGAGAAGATTTGGTGGTGATTTGAGTGAGTTTTGTAGAGGAAATGTTGGAAGTTTTCGGTTGCTCCCTTGCTGACTGCTAGCCGTCCATGGAGCTGGAAGGAATGATATGTTTTGCTGATTCTATTGCGTACAAGGAACGCTGACCGTCTAATATTTTAAGTGCGTAAAAATCAATTGCAACTAGTGCGCCTACGCGCGCGTTTTGTGCTCGATTTCTCTTAAGTTTGTTGCACTAGTGCACTAAACCTCTAGGACACTTACATTCATATAAATATTATTCATTCTTAATTGTCCCAAAATAATGGTCCAAGGTCCCTCAATTAAGCGCGCACGTGAAAACACGTATTTCCAATTTAGGCGCGATAAAATGAAATTTTCGAGAAATTCTTATAACAATCGTACTACCAACTATCACTTGAGTTTTTAAGCCTAAAATTGCCTATTTTAGGACCATTGTATATATCTCAAATTTTTGAGCTTATTGTACTCCCAATTGGCTAAAGTGTTTAGACACGTTTTCACTTTTCACTAAACAATTTTATAAGAAAATAATTTTTTTTGAAACGAGTCACTTTAAAAATATAACGAAACTATAAAACCCTGTACTTAGGTCTAATAAGGTTAGAAAATATTATTCGTGGCAAAAATCCAAATAAATAATTAATTTAGCCAAAATTAGGGATTTTAAAATAATAGAATTTTCGAGTCCTCACACTATTACAAAAAGGGTTAATCACAAAAATTTCTCTTAAAGTTTAACCAATTTTGCACTTCACCCCTTAACGTTAATTTTTCTTCACTTTATCTCTTAAATCATTAGTCAACTCTAATTTTGTATAACAGGTATGCTAAAAAGATATTTACACCCTTAAAGGTTAATTCCAATAAGTTTCCTAAAGGTGTAATGCATTTTGCCCTTTTCCCTCTAATTGCATTTTTCTCTTAATTTGTCTATTTGTTCCTAAAACCACTCAAGACATATAACATTTAACAATATTAATATCCCTAACATAATAATTGATACAAGTCGTAAGAGCTACATGTGCCTTACTTTAAGATCCGCTCATGGTTCGTTGGGATCCAATGAATAGAGTTAAAAACAAGTGCAAGACTTGAGTAGCGACCATAGGGACCGTGGCTTAAGACCCAGTTAAGAGTCACGGATTGGTTATGTTTTATGTTTTCTGATTTTGTGGTTCATGTTCAGTGAGTCATTAGTTAGTGAACTACATAGCTAGATCATATGGGCCAATGTTGAAGCCGCATTAGAGTTAGTTCTTGTTTAGCCAAATTAGGTTTACTTTAGTTAAGTCTTAGTTCTGAGTCTTATAAGTCTATAAAAGGCATCACTTTCGTCCAATTATGAAAAAAGAAGACGATTTATGAAAGTAAATTGAGACTTCATCTTTTTCTTATTCCTTAGTGAACGCCCTTGATACAAAGTGGGTCTTGTTTACTTTGTTCAAGTTTTGACATATCAATTCAAAACCGCGTTGAATTGTGTCGCCTTTTGTCCTTCTAAATAATCTCGAGCTATTCTTAATTGGTTTAGAATCCATCTTTTGTATCCATAACCTGATCAAAATAGATTCTTCCGCTACCCAGTCGAATCGCTTCTTCAAGAGCAGGAGTTTGGAGATTTGAACCAATATCAATAATGAAAATTATTGTCTGTTTATAAATATAGATCTTGTTAAATTTTATATTCATAATACATGTTTTTAGATAGGGGAAAATATTCCACTCATTTTACACAATAAGGGAAAAATAAAAATTATTAGTGAAAAAAAAACTATAAAAATATTATTAAAGATCTATAGATTGTCCTTGTTTGGATTGAAGATAATTTGTAAAATTTTTAAAAATAATACTATAATACTTTTTGTCATTTGATATTTGTGAAATAAAAATGTGATTAAAAAAATAAAAAGATGATTGAGAAGCTTGCTTATGATGCAACAAAAAAATTTTAGAAAAATTTGTAATCCAAAAAACTTTTAGTAGCTTCTAATCATAGTATATTAAAAAAAGACCCCAAAAACTTTGATATCCAAATCAACCATGTTTCTCTCTTTTTTAAAAGTATTACCAATAACAAAATGTATACTTGAATATAAAGAAGGGAAATTTGCCAAATTGGTCCCTAACATTTACCAAAAACACTTTTTTAGTCCTTAACATAAAAAATCAGCCAAAATGATCCTTCACATTTAAATTATGAGCCAATTTGGTCCTATTGCTCGTTTTTGCTCATTTCTCCGGCTAAAAATAGCACCCCCCCTCACGTGATCATATTTTTAGGGGCAAAATCGGAAAACACATTTCATTACCGGTCAAAAGAAGCCATCTTTCCTTCATCTAATCACCGCCGGAGTTTGAATTAGGTACATAGGAGGAGGCTCGGTTCCCCAACCCCAACTCCAACTCCAACTCCAACCCCAGCTGGAAAAGGCCCTTGTCTTTCCTGCCAATACGTCGCCGGAGTTGTCACCGGCGCAACCTGCTCCGCCTGAGGAGCCTGGGGTGGAGGTTTTTGCTGGTAAAACTCATCGACTTTCCTCTTGTACATATCTTGATCATGGCCTGAAATTTGCATCTTCTGCAACTCATGCATCTGCCGTTGAATCTCCGCCGCCGGAGGAACCACGGGCTCGCCTATCACCTGCCGAACCATAACCGTAGGGGCCACCGGCGGAGGATCCTGCAACTTCGCCGGCGTGGGATGACCCTTTTCCTAACCAAACAAAAAATCAGGGCTCCTCGCCGGCTCCTCCACCCCAGAAATCGCCACAGACTGCGGAGAAGAGCCCTCCAAATTCTGATTAATCTGCGCAGCATTCAACGCGTCAACAAACCACTGCCTCTCAGCTTTGGAATCATCCGACTCAAAACTACTCACGGACGGCGGTGGTTTGGCATTCAACGGAAATATAAACAGCCTCAGCCTCGCCGGCTTAGCTAAAGACCGATGAAGACGGTCATATTCAATGAAATGTGTTTTCCGATTTTGCCCCTAAAAATATGACCATGTGAGGGGGGGTGCTATTTTTAGCCGGAGAAATGAGCAAAAACGAGCAATAGGACCACATTGGCTCACAATTTAAATGTGAAGGACCATTATGGCTGATTTTATATGTAAAGGACTAAAAAAGTGTTTTTGGTAAATGTTAGGGACCAATTTGGCAAATTTCCCTATAAAGAAACTGTCTAGCTATTAAAAAAATGCAATCATATGCACATCTATAAAGAGAAACTGACAATATTCGAGCATTTTTAGACTTTTAATAATAATTTCAATTATTAATTTTCAATAACAATTCTTGTTATTTTATCCTATTATTATGTGAAATTAGCAAGATATTTCTCTCAATCTAAAAAATATTATAATTATGGGATGAAATTTAATTAGGACCATATCTATAAATATAATTATTTTTTCATTACTATGTTAGGGATATTGATTTTTTAGACATTATTTATCTTGGATGTTATAAAATATTGGAGTTGACATTATTTGTCTTAATTGTTATAAAATATTGGAGTTGACTAATGATTTTAATGACAAACAAACAAATTGGTAAAAATGATGTTAGGGGATAAAGTACAACAGGGGATTAGTGGACTTAACTATTAAGGGTATAAATATCTTGTCAACGTTACTATTATACATCGTTAGAGTCAACTAACAATTTAGGAGATGGAGTGAGAAAAATACCATTGGGGAGCAAAGTGCAAAAATATATATACCTTGGGCTTTTTTTAATTAACTCTTACAAAAATACAAAAAAAAAAAAAAAAATTTTTGTCAATCCCTTGCAAAAATAAATTGTCCTGCACAAAAGTGGAGGACAAATTACCAATTATGCCATTTGTCCAAATTAACAACGCCTGAAGGCTAGTAGTCGTTTTTAGCAAAGCACATTTCATTTGTCGAAGCCGCACAAGGGTTTTTCCTTCCTCTGTTTCCTCCTCAGGGTTTTCAGGTATCTTCCATACAAACAAGACAAAGGTTAATCAAAACATGGATTTTCTGGCAAGATTTTGTAATTTATTCTGGTATAGCATGAGTTTATTTTCATGTCCTCTTTCCGTTTCAAAAATTTTAGTGAATTTTAAGTTTCAACAGCCTTTTTCCTTGTGGAGTTTGAAAAAAGTTGCTCCTTTATTGTTTCAGTAGATCTAGCAATTTTTCTAATACTGATGTCTATTCTGATTAATCAGACACTCCTTTTGGATTCTATGTATGTTAGGGTTTGATTGGCAAAACCCAACCCCCTTTTTTGGGGATGTCTGTTTATTATTATATTTTAAATTTTTTGAAGCGCGATATGCCATTGCCATTATTGTAGATTTTGATACTATAGCTAATTTTCTTGAATGGCTTCTTGATTTTCCAGTGTTTTGAAATTCTTCTTCCTTGTCTCTCTCTCTCTCTCTCTCTCTCTGTTTTTTTTTTTGGTTAAATTTGCAGGCTATTGAAGATGTCAAGGGTGTACGTTGGGAATTTAGATCCGCGAGTCACTGAGCGGGAACTTGAAGATGAATTCCGTGTCTTTGGAGTTATAAGGAGGTAAATAATGAACCAAGCACAATTTATATGTTTTGGCGCTATTTATGTGGTCGGTTTTGCATAAGTATTTGACCAGGAATTTTTTTTTATTGCCAATTTTTTGGCTTATGTACTTATCTGAACTTTGGGGTGATGGACTCTTTGTAAAATCTCCTTCCTTTTTTTTTTTTGTTTTGGTTCATCGGAGACTCCAGGCCTTTACAAGGGGAGTGGGTGGAATTTCCCCTTCCTTTGAGAGTATTGTAAAGTTCAATTATCTTTGTTTTTGCTTACCTCATTTGGTTTTCTTGTTTGATAATGTTTTACCCAAAGGAAATTCGGGAGGAAAATACATTTGTAATAGCTGCTAAAACCTTTAGCTAAGGTTTTGTAGATACTTTTTTTTTGGGTTGGGAGGTTTTTAAATGCTTGGACTTTATTTTCATTGGTGATTGCGCATGCTAATATATTGAACAACATATGTGCCAGCACATGATCAGATACAAGTCCTTAGAACATATACCAGATAGCATAGTTTCCATGTTCAATTTCTTCTGGCTGGGATTTTGAAGTTAAATATGTGTTGTTTGTCCACCTCTATTGCAAATATGCTGTGGTTGCTTCACTTGATGATTTTAATCATCTTGGGATGTGAAGATAGATGGGGATAAGACAAATGTCTTCGGTGACCGTGTAGACAAACCTGTTTCCCGAGCGATATAGTATAGAATGCATAGGGAACAAGATACTAAGGTAGAGTGTGGTAATTATTGAAAGAAATGTGAATCACACAATTTCTTTTTGAAGTAGCACTCATTGAAGCATGTATTTGAAATGTCAACAGCAGCTACACCATATTTAGACTGGAATGCTTTTCAATCTGGAGATAGAATATGAGCACATGTTGTGTGTTACAAATTTAACTGGTGTCTTGGTTTGAGTGGGATCATCACATTTGCTTGAAAAGATTTAAAATTTGTGCACTGAAATTTTGGGGCTTATGTTTGTTCCTCATGGTCTATCCTTTAGTCACGTTTAAATGTTGTACTAATTTATGTTGTTCATCAAATTTTAAATGCAGTGTTTGGGTTGCAAGAAGGCCCCCTGGCTATGCATTTATAGATTTTGATGACAGGAGAGATGCACAAGATGCAATTCGTGAACTAGATGGTATGCCTTTTAATCTTCTACGGTGGACCCATTTTCCTTGGTACTTTTGCAATAAGGTCTTCAGTATAATTTTCTGGTTTCTCTAATTGGACCTGATGACGTATTTTCAAACTTTCAGTTTCTCGTCAGGAGCTATGTTTACATTGGTCAAAGCAAATACAAAATATTCTCTTCATGCATGGTTTTTATGTTGCAGTTTCTATTATGATTAAAAGTTCTGTGGCCTTGTTTTACTAGGTAAGAATGGATGGAGAGTTGAACTTTCTCATAATTCTAGAGGTGGAGGAGGTGGTGGACGTGGAGGGGGTCGTGGTCGGTCTGGGGGTTCTGACTTGAAGTGTTACGAGTGTGGTGAGCCTGGTCATTTTGCTCGTGAGTGCCGGCTTCGTGGAGGATCAGGAAGGCGTCGCAGCCGCAGCCCTCCTCCTAGATATCGGAGGAGCCCTAGTTATGGGCGAAGGTGAGATATTGATATGAATTTGTATTAGTACATTTTGTAACATGTGCAGTAGATATGAATGCCGATTTATCTATTTTGTAAAACATGCAGTAGATACATGTACTATGTCTTGCTTGGTGTCTTGTATGTGCTTGAGGCCCTTTATGTGCTTTGCTTGACGAAATATAAGCTGACAGATCAATTATATTTTAGTAGCATCTTGAGAAAAGAGGAAAAGCTAGGGAAACAATGCAGTGGTTGCAAGACATGGGGTTCATCTGCATTCATGATTGACTTCATCTTCTTCTCTTGCTATTATTTCTAATGCTTTTTGAGGGTTCAAGCAGGAGTTACAGTCCTCGTGCGCGATCCCCTAGGCGCCGCAGTTTGTCTCCTCGTGGTCGCAGCTACAGCAGGTCACCTTATCGTGGGCGAGATGAGGTGCCTTATGCTAATGGGTAAAGTTCTCTCCATAGCTTGCAATCTGTTTCTTTTGGGTTCCTAGTATTTAATATACTTATTGCTTCATTAGGCTTGTATTTGATGCGTGGAGTTTGTCTGAATAAAAGTATAATTAGAAGGTAAATGTAGGAGAGGATATTTATTGCCAAGTGGGGAGGAAATAAGATAGCAAGTTCTATTATCATCATGAATTTAGATGTTTCTAGTTCATTCATTGGTTGTTACACATCACTTGTAATCTCTATTTTCATGAATAAGTATGCTCTCATACTGATGATGTTATGTTCCAATGTGGAGCCATATATTAATATGATGTTGAAAGTCTGGGGATCTGATTGCATGAATATTCAGAAAACCCCAGCAATAATTAGCTTGAAGATAGTGTCACATCTTTAGGATGCTTCTTAATTTCAGGCTATGATGAATAGATCAGAACAGTGGGTATTATTACATCGTTCTCACTTCTTGCTATTCCTATTGTGCAGAAATGGTCTCAGAGATCGTCGCAGAAGCAGGAGCTGAGTGTAGAAAATTCTGTATTTGACTCAATCCGGAAGTTTTTGCAATAGTGTGTTTAATATGCATGGAATTAGTTACAACTCTGTAATCGGGGTGACGTCCTCGGCTTCAACTCGTGGATTTGGTTAAGTTTCTTTCGTACTTCAGTATCAAGTTGGTTAGTTTTCCTTCCCTTAATCCTTCTCTGGCTTTTGCCTTAGAACAAATAGATCTAGTATCTTAGTGGCATTTGGATTCTATGTTTGCTGATATAGTTTGTGAAAAGTAAAGAGTTCAAGTGAACGCTGCTAAAAATTTATGCTTTTTGTTTCTGTATCGAGGTGTCTACGTGGTTCTGCTTCATTGGTTTTCTGCTTCTACACTCCCTGTTGGTTTCCTTCTTCACTGCCCTGCTGTGGGATCTCCAATTTGAATGATTGTGGATCCCAACTGGCTGCGTTGCTAGATGCTTCTGTTTCATTGATTCTGCGGCTATGACGCCTCACCTCACTTGTAGTGGTAGATCTTTATATTCTTTTATGACAAGCGGCATCAAATACTTTTGGCAGGTAATCTGTTCAAGAAAAGATGGGGTCTTTTTTCTGAACTAATATTAAAATATTATCTTAATTGGGTTTATAGGCTTTTCGAGTAACACCTAAGTTTGAATCATGAAATATGATATCCATGTAGAAAACAGCCCCCTTTAGCTAACTAAATAGAGCCTGAATTAGTTCTCTTTTTACCTGCTAATTTTTTTTTTAATATTCATTTTTTTTTTGGGGCTCTGCAGCTGTCTAGCTAGTTTGTTATCCTAACTAACTGCAGGAAAAACAAATTAGCTTGTTTACTTGTTACTGCAAGCTTTCACTTTTTTGTGATAAGATCAGATTACCCTCCTTGACCCCCCTTCAGCCAAACTTTGAGCACCTAAATCTTTTGATGAGAAGGCCTTTCTTGAAATGGTCATGTTTTTGTTTCAGTTAAACATTGGAGTTTACTTGAAACTGCCTTCTGGACACTGGTCCAAATATTTCATCCAAGAATTATTAGATTTTCCTTCAAAATTATCATGCTTTGTATTAGTAGTTGTGGTGGATGAATTTTTATATAAAGGTATTGTTGAACTTCTAAGAAAGGGGCATAGATATAGAGGACCAGCGCTTTTGTCGGGGTTGTTTGAGATGATTTGCTCGACTCTGCCGAGATCTCAGTGTCTTGATTGAGGTTGTCGCTTCAGATAGGACCATCTGTGGTTGATCATCTGTCATTCATCCAGCTTTTTATTTTACGGTTGGCATCCAACTTCGGTTTTGTAACTCAAATTGTTGCTGTTGGCATTGTAATCTTCTCTTCCAGTTTCTGAAAGCTCAAGCCATCGAGAATAACTTTACCAGCTTCTTGCGTTACATTTGCTGTAGATGTTTTGGCTAAGAGATTTCCTTGTCTTGGAAGCAGTTTCTGATTCTTTGTGCTCTGAATGATTTGTGCTAGTTCAGTTTTTAATTCTCACCTGAATGAACAATGACTACACATTAAGAGTTCAGAATTAGGATTGATTTTGGGGAAGATGACCAACATTTACTAGATAGGGTAGTGGTGCACAGTTTTGCACATTGGTACATCAAAGTTGTTTAAATTGCGTGGTAAATCACTCAAATAATTTATATTCCAGTTAACCAAGTCGTGTATATATCTATGTTTTGGAACTTGGATCAGGTAATGATTCAGTGGAAACACTAAACTCAGGCATCGGCGGTCAATGGGTTTGATTGGTTGGGTTGGGAGTGAAATAGGATGACATCATAAATACGTTATAAATATATATTAATGATATGTAATCAAAATGATGTATAAAAATTCCTCTTAGATTGGTGGTACAACTCTGTATACATGTTAGATGAGTTTAGATTGAGTCCAAAAGGGGTCTACTTGAAAATTTTTTAAAGTTATAACTAAAAATAAAATTTAGAAAATATAATAGGCTAATTTTGCACTTTGTTAAAATAATAAGGATCAAAATAAAATTATGAAAAGTTTTAGGATACTCTAGGCAAATAAATGCTAAGCCTAGTCCGTGCTCCTTGTTTCTTATTATGCAGCCGTCAGTTCCTTTATTTTTTTTTTTTTCTCTTTTCTCCGTTTCTTCTTCGTTGTTTCTTATTTGTTTCTCCTCGTTTTTTCAAGGGAAAATTTCAGAAATCTCCCTTGAGATTTTTAATTATTTCACTGGCCTCCTTGGTTTTAAAAATTATGCTGCTAACTTCCTTGAAGTTTATTATCTTGTAAAATTTAGGTCCAATTAACAATTAAAAAGTAGAGAGAAATAAATATGATTTTATTATTGTTCCTCATCTATTAAATTGTTTAATTAATCTAATATATTTCTAAACAATAAAGAAAAGATTAGAATTTGTTGTTTATTATAAAGGATTAAATTATATAAGACATCAAAAATAGTATATCATTCTATATATTTTATTTAATGTAAGATTTAAATTGCTTTTTTTAGTTACAAATTTGTTATCAAATATGATCAACAACAAATAATCAGAAAATTTGTAATCAAAATATTATAAAGAGTGAATTTTAATATCAGAAAATTCTTAGCATTTAACGTTAACATGTTGACAAGAATATTTATGATATTAATTTTGTTCTTTGTAAAATTTTTTATTATTTGTTGTTGATTATGGTTAATAATGGGTATATAACTGAAAAGAGTAATTTGAATCTTGTATTAAGTAAAAAATATAAAATGATATACTATTTTTTAATATTATATGTGATTTACTCTCCGTTGATAAATAATAAGTTTTAGTGATTTTTTAATGTGTAAGCTGGTATTAAATTAATTAAATACTGTAGTAGACGAGGGGCAATGATAAAATCATATTTTTGTCTCTCTCCTAATATTACTTTTTGATTATTGATTGGGTGTAAATGGTACAAAATAATTAAGTTCAAGGGAGGTTAGTATAATTTTTAAAATGTGGAGGGAGGCCAGTGAAATAATAAAAAATCTCAGGGAAGGTTTCTAAAATTATCCCTTTTTTTAATCACACACAAGCTAGACTTTAGTAAGTTGAACCCGCTCTACTTAACTTCTATTCTGGAATCTTTTGTCTTCATTATTTTTTGTTTCCCTCTCTTTTCTTTTTCCTTCTTTGCTCCTTTTTCTTTTCCTCCTATTTGATTATAAATCTTTCAAGAACTTAGTTGCGTGAAATTGGGCTTAGGGAATTTAAAGAACGAATTTTTTTCTTTGAATTCATTCTTCTCCAGATCCGGCTGCGTAACATTGATTCTGATCAGATCTGTTCTTAACGCTAGTCAAAGATGGACGAAGGGAGGGAACCGAAAAGAAAGGGTCACCAGAATAAGAAAAATGTACAAACCAGGTTCTAATCGAATTTACCAGTTTCTGGTCAAATCTAATTTTTGATCGGGTTTGATCGAGTTTTTAACAGGCAATTTTTTAGGAAGGTTCGGACTGGATGTCTGGTTGGTATTAAGTTCAATTGATTGGTCGGGTCCGAATTTAAAAAAATATGTGTATGTTAGCTAAAGAAAAATGTGTCTGTCATGTCTCTTTTGGGAATAAACAGTTTAATCGTTTGAGGAGTGTGAAATTTTGTGTTCTAGCTCGGTCATATTCTCCAGATATAATCTGGGAATTTAGGTTGGTCAAGCAGCTGGGTGAGACATTATTTGTTTACCTGTATATGTTTTGCCAAGTGTACGTCAAAGCAATCAAATTGGTGCTCTTGGATTTTGCAATTACAGAAGCAACAATTTTGTTTGGATTGCTTCATATTTCCCCAATTTTATTTGCTTACATCATCTTTACAATTTCCAATACACCTTTTTATCTTCTCAATATCTTTTTATCTCACATATATCACATCACAAAAAGTACTACAGTAAAAATATCCCAAATAATCCCAAATAACTTACAATCCAAACAGACCCGTATTTTCCTATTTGTGACCTTTTATAACTTGTGTTAAATGTCATGGACTCCTGAATTGAATGTAGCTATGATGCTACGTATTAAACAACTGTGCCATGGTTGCCTGGGACGGAGTGTGCGACTTGCGAACTTCTGTAGTTTGGAATCGATTTTTGGCGTAGAATTATGTAATGGGAATAGAATTTTTGCCCTTGGAAGTTTTTGCTACTTCTCATACCCAAAAAAAAAAAAAAAAAGATAATCTTTGTCGACTCCAATAAAAAAAATTAAAAAAGGTCCAACATGTGTAAGTTTTCTTTAGGGATAAAATTTTTTTTTTTTGGTTGTGAAATAATGAATCAATTAACAATTTATTGGGCCTAAGTATTTTTATATAAGTCGTATGAAAAAAAAAAGTGAGAAGAATTGTATAATTGCGTATTGCAGAACATTACCAAACTTGTACAGAGAGAGAGAGAGAGAGAGAGAGAGAGAGAGAGAGCGAGGAATTACATAATCGCATGATTAGTTTCTTGGTATTGCATAACTTACCATAGCCTCCTTAGGCTCTCCCTCTCCCCTAATTAGGATAGAGTAGGTTATACAAATGTATTTGCTGACAAAAAAAAAAAAGAATAAAATTCGATGAAATGTTTTGTCTTATTGCACTAATAGTATACCAATTGGTGGAATATAATGTAAATAGATAAAATGGAAAAAAAAAATAATGATGTTTTAGGACAATAATGGGCACAAATCTGCACAGGGACGTTTCTTCCTCTTGAGCAAGACTTAATCAAAGGACGGGCATCAGGCCCCCTTATGGCCTTACCTACTATTTGTTTAAGATGAGCTGCCAATTCTATCACAATTCAGACAATTCAGAACTTTACCATATTTTCAAGCTTTTTGAAAAGAAATATTAGGGACCCAAATTAGCAATTTTCCCGTCAACAATTTGATTGTAAGCATTTTATGCTTGTAGATCTAGTTCACTGGTCTTTGATCAGACCTACTAACAAAAAATTAGCTTGCTATAAATGTTTTAGAAAACAAAGTATTTGGGACATAAAGATCCCTAAAGTATGCCAGTGTTGCTAATTAATCTCAGAAGGCTAAAGGATCCTAATTAGATTGTAAGTTTGTAACAATAATTTTTGAAAACTAGGCAGGACTCGAATTAGTTGAGTGATTGAAACTTGATGATGACAATGCCTTTGATTCTCATACTTACTAAAAAGACAACAGAAATTCTAATAGTATAGAGATATCAATAAGCCAGTTACAAAATTAAAAGGGATTTGGGATTTCAAGAAATATTGCACCGTACAAGGTGTGCATTAACTCAACAAATTGAACCAACGGCTTGTTGAATTGTTCGTCATCACAAAGGCCTTAAATACTTATATGGGATGGGAGGTCAAAACTTTGAACTTTATCTCTTATCAATTATTACTTAATATGTGACTTCTTTTAACTTCAATGATGTTTAATGCATTCATTTGATTCGATGGTGGTCAGTTTCCATCAGTTCTTATGATTCTTTTGGATCTGTCCCTTCTTTTGTTGCCAATGTATGACTAAAAAACTAACAATAATAATAACACAACAAATTTAGGCACTATGACATTAAGCGTTGATACCAAGATAATGACATGTAAAAAAATAACAAAATTTGTCACTCATAAATAATTGTGTTTCTTAATCAATTCCATTTAACAAATTTCATATCATTCCCATTAGATCCATCAATTTTACGGTGCAATTGCAAAGCATCCTGGCCGCAAAGTTTGTGCTAGCTGTGTAGGAATCCCAGTACGTTATCTTTATGATGTGGACCACTTTTAGACATGGTCATTGTCAAAAAATAAAAATAAAAAATCTGTAACTTAATTCGTTAACAGAAGTATCATGCCAAATTTGATCCAGTAACCGATTGCGAGATTCTTCAAACTTCTTAAAAATTTAAAATGGTAGCGGAAAGTTTAACGTTTTTTAATCCAGGACTGCTTACAATTTCTCTCGCCTTGCTAACCAATCCAACCTCCCTTAAACTTTAATAGATTTTTTTTGGGAGAATATCGAGAAACAAAAAAGGGAACTATTTCTACCACTAGATATTTTAAAGTCTTTCTCAAAATCAAATTTTAAGTCTCATCAAGTAAGATTTGGAGAGCTCAAAGAAAAACTCAATGAAAAGGAAAGACTCTATCACTCTATGCCAAAACACAATAAACTTCTGTAACAATCCAGAAGTATCTAAAATCTTGGACTAATTCAACTTACACCATATTGAAAAATGTTCTTTCTAGCAAAAGAACAGAAAAAAAAAAATCTCTGAGCCCTCAAACTGTTTTTCTGTTTAATTTATTTTGTTAATTATTATATCTAATGTATTGTGGATTAGGTTATATACTAGAATTTTGATCCGTGCTATGCACCAATTAACATTTCAAATCAAAATAGTAAAATTATTTTTGTGAGAAAAAGGTTATTTGGAATGGA